TCACTACAAGCAAATTACCAAGTTGGTGAAACTAAGAAAAGGCCATGTTGAAAAAGTCTTGTAACACAGTCGAAGGAAAACAGAGAGGTGAACAGCAATTGGTTAACATGAGGGAAAAGATGGGAGATCAACAAATGGTGCACTCTTAACCCTGATCCTACCAAAAGCATCTACTAGATGGGATCAGGGACAAAAGCCCCTTTTATATGTGGTTTGAACTGAAACAAGCTATTCTTTAAAGTAATAACCTCTTCTGGGATGCAGGAATATTGGGTGAGCTGAAGACACGTGGCTTTTTTAAATTAATTTTTAGATTGAAGATGAAACCCAAGTCTCTCGAGCGACCCAGAGTGAGCAGGACAACTACGAGATGCACGTCAGAGCTGCCAACATCGTAAGTACAGCTTGTGCGCCAAGCAGGCGTGCTGCATAGCAGATCTTGTGTGCTCTGTGGTCCGTTACAGCATCCCTGAGGAGCACTCGGAATACTAATGACAATTGCTGCGAGAGGTGTAATCATCACAGGGTGGCTTTCCCAGTGCAAAGGAAGGGAGCGATTTTTTCTGTTTGCTGTGGATTTCGCTTTGGGTTGGGACCCAAACTGATCAACTTTCACTTTTAGAGCTGCCCAGTTGTAACTGGTGAGGTCCCTGACTGAAATCCTACTCTTGGCTTGCAATGTTAATACTTTCTTTTGCCTTTGGGTGGTGCCAAAACATATAGTTCTGGGTTTATACTACTGATGGCTGTGCTTGCCAGTGGAACAAAAGAACATCATTGTTCGTGCATAGAGTGCCAGAAGGTTGCATAGTGCCCCTGGTGTACATGTACAACTGTACTGTTATAATGCATTCTTTCTCTGGTACTGCAGGCTTTTGGCTAGCATTTTAGCCAAGTTGCTCCCATGTTGCAAAGTCTGGTATCGGGGGGTTGAAGGGCAGCCCAGCAGATCATGTTGCAGACCCTTGGTAAAGGACCTGAAGTCACTCTGTGTCCCTTTTGCTTAATATTTTATCCACCCTGCAAGGTCCGAGCTGGCGAGTCCCTGATGAAGCTTGTGTCCGACCTGAAGCAGTTCTTGATCCTCAATGACTTCCCCTCTGTGAACGAAGCCATTAACCAGCGTAACCAGCAGCTGCGGGGCGTGCAGGAAGAGTGTGACAAGAAGCTGATCTCGCTGAGGGATGAGATTTCCGTTGACCTGTACGAACTAGAAGAAGAATATTACTCTTCCAGGTACAAATAGGGCCATGGACTCCCATACTAACAAGCCTCCTCTTGTCTCCAGCCCTTTCTGAGAAACAGGATAGGAGAGCAGATGGTCCTTAAGACACAAGCCTAAATGGATATTTCCCCTTAAAATTCACACCTGTGTTTTTAATTAGATCAAACTTCTATAACCTAAAGCAAGCCATCGAGATGCTAAGCAGTCAGGCTGGTATGAGGAAGAACCTTTTTCTGTGCCAGTTCTTTCACAAGTGTCCTAACTACATAACGTGCCTATTCCTTGCAGCTCACCACCACCAACTGTCTGGAATCTATTTAAAATGAACTAAAGGGACATCATCAAGTAGCTTAGAATCAGCATTTTTCTGCCTCTAGCAGGGTGAGAGGGTTGGTGTGTTTTTTGGAAAAGATACCCCTAATGTATCTTTTGTGAAATCTTTTTAAAGACTTTCAATAGAACATAGGTTCTGGTGGATACAAACTTTTTCTTCTTTCCTAATATGGTTGCAACCCCCAACCTAGCTAGTTAATGAGATCCAGTAAATGAAAGTTTCCAGAATCAGATCTGAAAGTGACTAGTTCGGTTGCACTGTCCAAGGTCAGTGAAGTGCAACAAGTTAATCAACAGCATAAATGGTGAAAAGCAAACTAGCTCTTTAAACTTCTTTCACTTTTAATAAGCTTTGATAAGCTGATTTTATTTTAGGGAATTAAAAAAAAAAGTTTAGTGGTAGTTACAGATGCTCGAGTCAACTGGAACTTTGAAAATCGGGCCATAATTTACAGGTAATGCAGGTATTTTAGAAATAAATGTTAGCCCAACAGCGTCCCTTTAAAATTGATGCATTATTTTAAGAAAACTTACCTTTCATAGCTGGGAAAAGGAGAGCAACAATTATAAAAAGATGTCTTAGGACAGTGAGAGGCCCAGTAAATATTTTGGAAAGGGAGGTGAGTAGGGTTACACAATGCTGACTGATCTAAGCAAAAATTCAGGTCTTAACTGGGTCAGGACTTTATTATTTCATCACTTGATAGACAACATCCACCGCTGTGCTGGCCGAACAGGGGTGTGTGAGGTTATGGGGACCCAAAAGTGAGCCTGTGGTGTGTGTATGTGACATTGTAACCAGACGCTCTGGCATGTACACTTTTGTGGTTCTAAAATGGTTATTTTAATCTTTGGACCAATGGGTTCTGACCATGCTGGTGTGGTCTCTTATCTACCTAGCTCTGAAACTGCACTAAGCCATCATTCCTAGCAGAACTACTGTCTAAGCAGGAGCAGGGGGGCTTTGTCCCCTCCCTCCCCTCATTGCACCAAATCAATCCAGTCTTATTCTGTTTCTAATATGAAGTGCTCAGGTGGTGAGAAATCTTGCCTAGATTAGAGCTATAGTCTCTTTAATGACGCTTCATGTCCTGTAGCTGCACCTAATGTTTCATCCACTGGTCCTTGAGCACTTATTTCCTTCTCCTTCACGTGCCATCGGCTACAGATTTAACGCAATCTTTATTTCTGCACCAAAGAAATGTGAGTGTTTAAATAGACACAACAAGTGGCTTATTCAAAGTACTTTTATAGAGTCATAAGGATTTTTTTAACAGAATTTTACTGTCTGTGGAGAAAGAGGTTTCTATTTTGTATTAAACTACACATGGCTGTAGGATGTTAATTGTGTTTAAATGGCTGTAAATGCAAGACTCAGTATATACCTGGAGAGGGTGACACGAAACTGATTCTGAGAGCTCAGCTGGGGGTCAGTAGCTGTCAACTCCTTGTACCGCCTAGGATCAGGCATATCATTTTGTTCTACAGTGGTCTGATCCTGCTCTCACTTAAATTGATGGGAGCTTTGCAGTTGACTTCAGTGGGAGCAGGACAGTAGGATTCCACACAACCACTGTTCCAAATTGTTCTCCCAATCTCTGGTTTCTGTTGGTGGCTTTTCACCATCCCCAATAGTTAGAGCTTAGAGTTTAACACCTGAAACATTGTTGTTTCCTGGCATCCCTTTGGGTGAAGCTGCAGAGTCTTGTATTCTCTGCACCCAGTCTGTTAGCCTCCGACTGGTCCCTGTGTATTGCTAGGGCCCACAAATCCTTGTGCAGACAAAACTCCTGTTGATTTCACTGCTTGTCTGTGGGAGGACTATAGAATTAGACTCTGTTTTTGGGTAGGTGTCACCTGGAAAGGCATATTCTCACTCCCATCACAGTACCAGGGGTTTGGGAGACACTCTTGCCCCATATACTGGTAAATACTGCATGTCTGTAGGGTTTTTGCTAGTAAATACTGATTTCATGAGGAAACTTGCAAGCCAAGAATCTTTCAAAGCAACTCATGTGCTTTTGTGTTCTAGGCAGGTGCCTTCCCACATGGTCCCAATAGTGTGGTTTGGGGGAGCATTTAATCCTAGCATCCGCCTCCCAACTTCTCCTTTGGGGTCACATCAAACAAAGCCTCAGGGCCTCTCCACTGTGAGATTGGATGGTGCCTTGCAGAGCCCCATGGCAACTATGAACTTCAGGTTACTGGCTGGAGAGCTGTAGTGTAAATTTTGAGGTCTATATAATTTGCGGGGCGGAGGGTTAAGGAAGGGAGGGAGGAGAAGGAGAGATGCCCACTTCCTTTCCAGAGCTGTATTCCACCCGGATGCTAGGCTGAAGAGTTCTTAGTAGTCCTCCTGTGTGAGATCTGCTGGACACCAGACCCTAGTGCTCTGGGATCCAGTCATGAGGGGCTGAGATCCAGGAGAAATGGTTGGTGGATTCAGGACTAATTAGGCCCCAGTCCTGCAGTCCTTCATGCATACCTCAGTAGCAGCCTTGTTTTGCATAGGCACTGAAGGATGGGGTGAAAAGCCTTCAGACCCCAATGAAGGGACCTCACTTGGTGATGGTGCAAAAGCCCCAGATGCTAAACACCCACCCCTTCTCTCTAGCACACCTAGCGGGGAGACTGCTGGAAAAGAGATGATTTGACTTGGCATTGGGTGAATTCTCTGTAACTGCCAAAAACCAAGTGCTTTAAATCAGTGACCTCCTCCTGTGCTTATTCCCCAAAGCTGTAGCCCCGTGCACTCCAGCTTGCCTTATCCAGCCACCTGTGGCTGGAGCTCTGAATTCCTGGTTCACACTCCTGTCTCTCTGAAAGCGTGGCTTGGTGACTGGAGGGTGGGTTTGGAGTTCAACCTGCTAGACACGTCTCTTCAGTTCAAAGTGTTTAGTCTCTTTTTATATATATTTTACTTTTAAAATATTTCCCATAAATCTCTATTTGAGTCTATTAATGGTAAATAAAACAGAAACAAGAAAATCCCTGGACCTCTTGGGTTTATTTTGAACATAAGCTATTTCCTGTTACAGGACTCACTTCGGTCTCTGGGTGTCTCTTGCATGGGCAGCTCCTTCCTCTCTTCCAGCATTTTTTTTCCCTCTATTTTTATTTTGATTTATAGCCCTGCCACTGTGCATCCACCTCAGACTTCAGAGCAGGACCCAGGGCAATACAGGGACAAGAGATGGCCACTAGCTTAGGAACACAGGATTTGTCATAATTGTTCACCCTACTGGTCCACCTAATCTTATACCCTGCAGTGGTCAACCACTGTCACCTGCTTTTTCAGAAGAGCTGAGCACACACAATTCCTGTTGAAGTTAATGGGAGCTGCAGGTGATCAACACTTCTGAAAATCTGGCCAAAGATGCTGCAGGAGAAGGCATAAATCTCCCATAAATCTTTGCCAATCTGGTAATGCTAGAGATGGGGGTGGGGGGTTTCCTGACCCTTACAGTGATCCTGCAGCATGAGAATCGATTGTCCTTTTCTTGGTGCACAACTTTTTTAGCTATTAGTCATAACACTAGAGCAGGGGAGAAGGGGATAGAGGCTTTGAGGTTTTTTTGGTTCTTAACAAAAAGAATGGAATGATAATCTTACAAATATAGACCTCCAAACAATTCAGTGACAATCTAGTAATGCTCCTTGAAAGAACTTAAAGTCCCCCCCCACCCCTTTTTTTTTTTTTTGCAGGGGAAGTTGTTTGGTTTTTTTGCCGCATGGTAAATCAAGAATAATCCTGACTCTAAACACTTACAGCCCAAACTTGTAAAAGTGGCTGCTGGTTTTTAGATCTTAGACCCGAGTGTGAAAGGTGCAAAGTATTCGCAGCTCCCAGCAGCTGGAGGTGTGAGCACACTCCGCTTTTCTAAAAAATCAGGGTCAGGTGTATTAAGCTGGGCACCCAAAATCACTAGCAAAATTAGGGCCAAAGGGCCTGATTCTCCTCTCAGTTGGGTCCAGAGCTAACTCTCAGTGAAATTGCCAGGGATGAAATCCTGGCCCCACTTACGTGAATGGGAGTTTTACCATTGACTTTAATGAGGCTGGGATTTTGCCCCAGGTGTCTTTCCTTTGACTTGAATGGGAATTAGAGTGGACCCACATGCCAATTTCAGACTGGAGTAACACCGCTGGCTTCAATGACACGACCCCTGCTCCTTCCCAGGGCAGTGAGATCACACACCAGCCTGAGCCCTGTTAGGGAACATCAGTGTCATGAGACTCATGAAAAAGTTTATAATCCACAAACATTATGTCCATGGACGCTTTTGCCATTTTCTTAACGCTTTGCTTCTGTCTTGCTTTCTCCCCTCCCCTCTTTTTTTCCCCCTCCCCTCTCTGATTGCACCCGCTGTCTCTCCTTACTGGGGTGGCTTGTTCTGGAAAGCTACAGTCTATGTGACACCAATGATCTTCCTCTGTGCGAAGCCTACTGGAGAGAAGACCCTGCCGTGCTTTCCCCCGAAGGCCTCTCCATGCCTCTGGCAGCTGCCACGGCCGAGCAGAGCACTGCGGCCCCTCAGAGCTCAACCCCATCGCACCCTCACGTGAACGGGCACGGGGCAGGCCCGACGGAGCACTCCTGAAGAGGACGCCGTGCCTGCTGAGCTGATGGAGTCTTCCCAGTTGCTGTATTGAGCCAACCTTCTCCCACTCCCAGAATACTGTACTGTAGTTGTGTTTGCAGGTCAGCTGCTGCCATTCACTGGATAGCAGCAGTGTCGTCTTCACCTCTTGAGCCACACCCGAGAAAGTGTTACCAGAGGGCTATGGTAGAAGTAATAGGCCAATAGGAAATTGACCGCTGTAGCAACTTTGAGCTAGGATTTGTCTTATGTTACCACAGGATGACTACATGTAGAGACCATTAGGAGCATGGAGTTTGTTTCCATGTGAATGCCAGGTTGGGAACATGTTATTGTGCTATGCAGGAATCGAGTGTATTCTGGTTCTGAATAGGAAATGTGGGTCAAGGTTTGGGGTGGGGTTTTTTTTCAGTATTTATTTCTTCCTAAGACTCAAGTTAATCAACATTTGCGTGCTTCCTATATCCGTACTCTCAGCCTCTTCCTCGGCTGGGGTGGCACTAAAATGACTTCTGCTGTAGTTTACAAAAATAATAACCTCCTTAGTATGTGTATATAACACTTTTCATCTTCAAGGTGCTCTGCAAACTTGAATCCCTGTGTTCAGAAACTACTGAGATGGGAGAGCTAAAGCTACCTGGACTCCTCAGAACACCCTTGCCACCGACATAAACACTATTCCCATTGAAGTGCAAGGGAAACTGAGGCAGCAGTGCAGTGACTTGCCCAAGGCTATAGATGGAGGCAGTGTCGGGGCCAGAATTAGAATTAAGGACACTCTGGCTCCCAAGTGGGTGCTCAGACTACATGTTTCTGTCAAATGGTCGATGAAGCTGCTATGAAGTTAATTTTTGGGGCAATGATTAGTGCTGTTTAATCAAAGACAGGGGGGAGAGTTGGGGTTTGATGGGTGCTCATGGCTAAGAAGCTCTTTGGTTTCTTAGTTAAGAAGAAGCATTCTGTGCAGTTTCCTTTTAAGAAACCATTTCTGGTGCTTCAATCAAAGCTATCCAGCAGCACCTGGGTACTCAACTGTCACTGTCCTTAGTAGAGCTCTGTGTAGCTTGAAAGCTTTGTCCCTTTCACCAACTGAAGTTGGTCCAACAAAAGATATTACCTCACCCACCTTCTCTCTCATACCCTGGGACCGCTGCAAACAGCTTCCTCCGTTCAGTCATTTAAGCTAATTCTACTTGTATAATTGAAAGAAAGTATTTGAAATGGGATGTAACCATTACAGATCAATGTCTAAACATTGCAGAACTACTGTTGCACCCAGAATGCAATTAAGTCCCTGGTCAGTATTCTACTGTAGCTTCACGCTTCTCTCTGGGGTTGTCCTCCCCCCCCCCATTTATTTTATAAGTAGATGGCTGAATAAAATGAACTTTGTTTTGTATAATTTTTAAAGGGTGTGTTATCAGCTGCAAGGGGAGGGTGACATGAGAATCTTACGTGTGTGTGTGTGTAGTGGGAAGAGCATTTCCCCAAATGTTCCAAGCAAAACCCCACTCCGGCGCCTCTTCCCGCTGACACTGAAGTTGGGCTTTGTAGAAGGGTTGATCATTACGGAACTGAAACGTGCAAGGTGAAGCAGGAGGTCCATGGGGCTTGTCTGGGGAGCTGCCCAGGGACCTTCTCAAACGTTGCTGTGCTTTCTCACCTACATCGCAGGCCAGTGGTTTGACTCAGTCTGTGTGTTACATCTTGGGGGTCACAGATGTGAAATCCTGGTAACATGCAGAACATTAGCTCAGTGGTTTGAGCATTGGCCTGCTAAACCCAGGATTGTGAGCTCAATCCTTGAGGGGGCAATTGGGGGATTGGTCCTGCTTTGAGCAGGGGTTGGACTAGATGAGGTCCCTTCCAACCCTGATATTCTATGATCTTATTTGTCACCTCTCAGCTAGATGCTGTGGACACTTCACGCACCTCACCTCTTGCTATGAGAAACTAAGACTGAGATTTCCAACAAGAGTTAGGCACCCAACTCCCAGTGAAAGGCACCCATGAATCCTAACCCACTTAGGTTCCACTAAAACGTCTGACCTAAAAGATCACTGTCCAAAATAATTCCTGGGGAGAAGGATTCCCTGTACCGACCTCATGTACTGCTCTTAATATGAGCACTGCTTTAGGGCCATGAATCCAGCTAAAATGTCAAATAAGACTACGATGGGCTTTGCTAAGTGGGAGAGTAACTTCTATTCTCACGAGATTATTTTACTTCTAAAGACCAGTAAAGCTGCATTGCAAGTGCTACCCTAACATGTCCTTACCAGAAAGTCCTTTTCTCTCTCTCTTTGTCACAAGTAAAAATACTGTTCCGGATGCAGTTTTGCAATCCTTACTCAAGCTAATGTTCCACTGACATTAACCTGCATTGAGCGTGAATATGTGGACTGGAGGAGCAGGACTTACAGCTTGGGGAATCAAAACCATATAGAAATACTCTTGCATAGTGATTAATCAACAGTGCTCATTACAGTGGTTACAGTACTTTATTCATAAAAGATAAACATGGTGTTATCTTGTACACAGTGCATTAGGTCACCTGGAAGCTACAGGTGCACTTCCTGGATGGACATAGCAGAATTATGTACTGCCTCATTGTACAAAGAGTTAGCTACATATTCTCTCTATGCTTATTTATTGTTGCCAACTCTCATGATTTTAGCAGAGGTTCTACAATACTTAGTGTTTTTTCTCAAAGCCCAAATTCCTGAAGTCACGTGATTTCATGAGAATTTCAGCTTTCATTAAAAAGAAAAAGTTTCTACTGTGAAAATGTGACCCCATTCATTTAATCCTACAGTCAACCCTAAAGACTCGGAAACCTGAAAGCAAATACAAATAACCTGAAGTATATTATTTTTTAAAATCTCATGATTTTTGTACATTTGAAGTTGTCAGTATTGTGTTAAGTACATTAGAATCAGGATGTGTGAGTTTTGCTTAAAATATTTCAGGGTAAATAACTCCCAGGACAGTTTAAACAAAATTATGGATAAGGTTGTTTGCACAACCCACACCTTAGTCGATTTACAATTGCATAATTACATCCTGCCTCCCTAAAATTCCTTGTGTAGTTTTAACTCACTCCCTGGCCTAACTGGAGGATGACCAGATAGCACATGTGAAAAATAAGGACATTTTTTTCCAGGGGGACTGATATAATTGCATATATAAGACAAAATTCCTACTATTGGGATGGTCCCGATAATATTGGGACATCTGTTCACCCTACCTAACTGCCATGTTGTGCTGTAAACTGTTCAATGTCAGCTGTCCCATCCTAGAAATGGTTGAATTTTGGTGGCTGGGAAATGAACTTGTAAAATGACTTGAGAGCCTTAGAAATAAAGCAGTAGCTCGCGGTGTGGACACAGTTCTGGAATAAAAATCACTGTATCCTGGAATAATTCACTCACAAAGCAGAAAAATGATTATGGGATAAAAGTGACTTTATTCTGGAATCCAGTCTGCACCCGCGGAGCTATTCTGGAATAGCCAGGCCCGCTGGTTTCCGGCTGTAGACAAGGGGACAGAGACATCTCCGGGACACACACACGAATGGTTGCAGAACTTTTTAATTTGGACGCAGCTGCAACCGAAGGGAGAGTTCAAAGGGATTTGCAGATTCAGCTTGAATCCGGGCACGGCGCGTAGCGGGCACGGAAGTGCACGAGGGAGAAGCGTGGGGGGATGCAGCTGGGGAACCGCATGCAACGTGCTACAGGCACAGCCCCTCCCAGCTGCCTGCAACCCGCTACGCGGCAGTAATGCAACGAGGGCGCGCCTCGCTGCGCGCGCCCCTCCCGCGCGCCAGGGCAGGCAGCCGGACCCCGAGCCCCGGCAAGGCGAGCGCCGCGCTTCCTCCTCGGGCCCCGCCCCTCGCCGCCTCTGCCAATGGGGAGCGAGGGTGCGCTCTGCGTTCGGCTAGCGCTGCCTGCCCGCCCATGTGGGGCCCCGGCTCGGCTCGGCTGGCAGGCGGCGGTGGCGCGCGGGTGAGGCTGCGGGGGCCCATCCCCGGGCAGGGGGTGTGGGAGCTGGCGGCGGGCCCCGGCCCTCGTCCTCTCCCCTATTGCCCCCAGGAATCCCTTTCCCCCATTGTCCCCTGTGCTCCCTTCTACTGTCCCTCCCTCCTCCGATTCTCCCT